AAATACTTGAGGAATTCAAGTTTTATAGCATTATTAGAAAAAAATCACGGTGACGGAAATAATCACAAATTTTTTTTTTTGCATATTAGGTTTGTTTTTGAAAAAAAAAAAAAAAAATACATCATCAGAATTCATTGGGTGTTTTTACACGGGAATCGATAATTATCTCAATTTCCAAAACAATCGATTACGATTCACAGGAGTGCACAGAAGGTGTTTTATGGCCATTTGCGCCATTAAGTTGCGCCATCAAAATTTATGAGGGAGGCCTTTTTTGACGGGGTTTTCAATTTTTGAGGGATCATATTTCGACGGGGTTATGAAATTTCAAAATGAAAAGTTTCAAATTAAAAGACAAGTGGAAGCATGGGACAGACTGCAGGGTGTGTAATTATATATAATCTTTGAATATTTAAATTCTACTTTCGTTTGCACTGTTTTTAAGAAGAAGAGAGGAATAAAATATCTTGGAAGGGATGGGGCAAGGTTTATGCGCCATTGGCCTTGGAGGGTATGGGCACCTCTGAGGATTCACTCTTGAAATACACGATTGAATTGTTTGGCATTTAGAAGAAGTGAACCAAATCTAAAAGTTCTATTGTAATCTTTTCGCCAAAAAGACATCCTGTTAAAATAGGACTTTTTAAAAACGTTTCAACTATTGGTTTTGAATAACCTCAAATCAAAGACAAACAGTTTTCTATATGAGTAATTCGATGGAAGGCAATGAAAAATTACACTATCGATCTATTTCAACCACCGATAATTAAAGAACCGTAGCTCTATACACAAAAAGAGATTTGAAAGTACATAGATCTCACTTTGATGGATGGCACATGATCTCTTGATCACACTATAAATGAAAATCCTAAAACGGTGAAATGTGTCCAAAAGTTTTCGTAGGTGATTAAAACGGTTGTTAGGACCCATAAACCATTTATATGTTGGTGTTTAACGACTGCGCTTTGGTACATATTGAAACATTTTCGTAATTTTTATTTGTAGAAGTTGTTTGTTCAAAGCAGTAACTAATTATAGCTATACCATTTGCAATGCAGCTTTGGTTTTCTGACCATTCTCTTCCTTTCTCCTAATGGTTTGTCGTGATCTCAACATGGATACTTCCATTAGTCCACTTTGTACACAGCGAGCCTGGTCAGGTAAATATTCTCTATTTTTATTCATTCAATGTTATTTCACAAAATAATCCTAAATATTTATAAAATTGATTCGTTCATTGATTATGGTATTAAAAAGGATTAACAAATAAATATTTTGATATATTTTTGAAATATTTAGCCATTACGATCATCATCGTGCAACATTCATATCAGTTGTTTCTCAATTTAGGCTGAAGTTTTTGAAAAATCACATTGTTAAGAGCATGTCAAAAAGTAATTTTAATTTAGTCATAAGAGTGGAGCGCCATCTACTGGTCGTCGGAGCATCGCCCTCTATCGGTAGGAAGAAGAAGAAAATCTCAACTAGCCCTACTTGGTGATCTGGGACATTGTCTGAAATGGGAGTTGTCGAAGTACAACTCTAAAAAATGGTCTCCATGACCAAGTTTTATCCAAGTATGTCTAAAGAAGCGGCCAGTAAGAGACAGCATAGAAGTCAGTATATGTACCTCGATGGGGACTAAAGACCTCCGTCTCATCATGAAACCAGGAAACATCTGCATTATTCCAGCCGCCATTATCTACATTTATATGGTCAGCACATTGATTACCGATAAACTTTGACACTAATCTACTAACCTCCTATGCGGATTCGGATCTACGGGGGGGAGGCTTCACCCAAAATGGTGAAATATAACTATGTTTAATGTAACTATGAAAAAAAAAACAAAAAAAAAACTCTCTTAAAGTATTCTTGTTTCTGTAATTACATATAATAGGACTTCAAGAACCAATTAAACACCATTTCATATAGATAGTTAATTTATTTCTTTTTTTTTCAAATTAATTATCATTATATGTATTTGAAAAAAAATCGTTCGGGCTAAAGCCTCCCAAAATTAAATCCTGGATCCGCTAGTGCTCCTGTGTATATGTTTTTAATTTGATTTTCACTTAATTTCTAATATATTTTATGTTGATCTTAATTTGAATTTGATTTTCTACATTTATGAACACCTCCCTTTTGATCAATTCTTTGAAACATCCAGGTTTGATTCCCCTACTTCAGGGGGATCAGGATCAGGAAGGCTTGATACCCCAAGATATTCAATCATCACTCCTACGTTCGATCCTTCTGGGACGCATCCATTTGAAATCAAGCTCGAAGTTTCTTCGTTTTGATAACCTATTGCTAGCGAATCAGCCAGTCCAGTTACATCGTTAGTTAATTATTTAAAAACAATTAAAACTATTCATTTAAACTTATGAGTGGTATTAAAATCTTAACAGCGTGATTGAATTTCAATAATACTCTGTTTAAAAGATACCCCTCCATTTAAACGCAGCTATAACATATTATTGTTTAGAGCACAGATGGAGCATACGACAAACAGAACAAGTAGCGAAGACCAATTAACATATTAAATGGCAGCTGGTAGCTGGAGCCAAAGGGGGCAGCGTTGCGTGAAGTCGGAATGTTTTGGCGGCAACAGGCCCTCAATCAGCTGCGATTGTCCCGCCATAATTGGGAGGGTCCTAACCTATTAAAGATAAATCAGCTGATCGCCCGGCCACGTGGCCAAACACCAACTGGTCCCCCTTCGCGGGCTATTAATTCCCGCCTTTCAGCCTGCCCTTCCGAGGTGCAGGTGCTGCCCTCTGCCGCCGATTTAATTTGTCTCAGACAGAATAAAAATATCTAATGTAATAAGTAGTGTGTAATAATCCGTTCAATCTATTCAACTTAATAGAAAATTATGAATTTTATCTTCATTGCAGAGATAAAATTAAAAATGAGTTTAATATTCAAAATAAAAGATGGATATCAAATTATAAGAATTATTTCGATTACTCTCGCAATGTACATTGCATGATCAAAGATAAGTGATCACAACGATCTAATATCTCGGATCATTGAACAAGGATGGCTGGAGTGGCAAAATCAATGATTTGACTTGCGATAAAATAAATTAATAAAGATCGAGAAATATGTAAAACATCCTAGAAAACATCTACAAGCATCACGAAGAGAAGAGGTAGTTCTTGTCTGCCTGAAGATTGACCATTGTCGACTTTACCATGGATATCTCAGGAAGATGAAAGAAAGAGCAACATGTTCCTACTGCGAGTATATTGTTATAACAGTGCGTCACACACTAACGGAGTGTATGGCTCACGACTCCTACAGATTTTACATAGACCCATAGCAAATATTGAGACAAGACTTATTAAATTTTTAAAAACTATCGATAAATACAATAAAATTTAAAATAACTACAAGTGACTAAAGAATCTTCAGTGTAAATGACTCCAATGGTCGAAACACTGAAATAAATAAAATAAAATAAAAGATAATAGGATTATATCTCCAACCAATCGCCTCTTTGATATTATATTTAAAAATCCTTGAACATTAAAACTGCTTAGTGCACAACGTGCCTCCATGACCAGACCTAAATTACTTTAATTGTCAATAAAAACTTAAGACAATTAGTATGAATTTTGACGTTTAAGTGTACTTTAAATTTTTGGTTTAACTAGATGAAAACAAAATAATTAGTTTTTCCATATATTCTTTATGTAATTATTATCCCATTGAATAATGACGAGCATCGCTCTGTTTCCCCATGTGTTTTCCCTGCTTTCTGGTTTACAACTTTTAAGTCCGTAAATTCATTACTCCACCGAAATATGACCATCCATAAATTCTAAACCATATTAAAAATTTTGATGGACACTTGCTTCTTGACACGCTCTTCTAGGCATCCCTGTCCAACTGTAGCTTGTACACCTGCATTGTTTTTAATCTGAGAAAATATTTCTCTTGTTTTCTTCTTAAATCAATTATAAAATATTTCCATAAAACAAAGTTAATGATGCAATTTAAAAAAAAAATCGACATTTAAGCCTTGTAAGGCTAGTTCATTAAGGTCAATCCCTACATCATAATAAAGATCATTCATCACGATTCATCAAAATCATTAGAGTATTTTTTGAAATAATTGTAAACATGTGAAAAATTAAAGGTACAAATTATCATTTCCAGTAAATGAATTTTCCCCAATGTTGCTGTCAAATCCCGGGCTATGGATTCAAACACAGGCGGATTTACGGTGGGGGAGGGAGGGGCTTTCGTGCTGAAGTCCTCCCCAAAATGGTAAAATGTAACCATGTTTTGTGGTACAAAATATAAAAAAATTATGTTTTAAAGTATTATTTCTCGTTTAATTACATTTAATAGGACTTCAAGAATCACTGAAACACCATTTCATATAGGTAGTTAGTATCTTTCTGTTTTTCTAAACTAATTATCGTTATATATGTGAAAAAAAAAGCTTCCGAGCTGAAGCCCCCCCCAAAATTTAATCCTGGATCCGCTAATGGATTCAAATACATAGTTTTTTTTAGCTAAATTGTTTAAATATACACAGTCATTTTTGTGAGATCTGGTTATTTGGACTTTAAGGGATCATGAAACATTTATTTTTGTTGCGAACTCGGATTCGAAATTTTTCAGGATCTCATTATTTCCATATATATTATATACATATATATATATATTCCATATACAATAACGTAAGATAAATTAATATGAACTTTTATCATGATTGTTAACATTTTTTTATCCAACTAGATCAATATCTTTTAAGTTTAACTTCATGGAAGTCACACAATTACTTTTTGTTTAACATGATATGTGGTTTTAGGTATTTCATGAATGCAGAAATGTAGGTTAATGAACCATCTGACTGTGCGAGGACAAGGAAGGTTAACGTCCTGACAGGTAAAACATTATCAGGATTATTAATTAGCAGAGAATCAGGAAGGTGGGGGAGTCCTGATAACTGAAGATATCCCCAGAAGTTCGCGGCAGTTGTCGAACCATCTTCTCCGATAGGAGATGTTCCATCACCTGTACAAGCCTGGGCCTCTCGGGCAATGGATTGTAGCCTTCACAGGTAAATAGAAAACATTCATTCATAAATATTTACATTATATATAATACGTATAGATCCCTTATCGGCCGCAGGAGCGATGGATTTTGGTAATTGAGGATATCTGATTCAAAAAGACAACTATAAGGATCTCTAATTACAGTATTACTGAATTCTGTGGAAAAAAAAATCTCATCAGTGTCATTTTATTTATTTTTTTAAAGCATTGATTTGTTAAATAGAGGTTATATTTGCAATTACATATTATATATTATACAAGTTGGCCTATACGAACAATTCACACAATATATTGGCCTGTAAACAAATGACAAAATAGTATAGAAATAATTTAATGCCATGTATTACACTAGCGGAACCAGGATTTAATTTTGGGGGGCTTCAGCCCGAAAGAATTTTTTTCATATATATAACGATAATTAATTTGAAAAAAAAAAAGAAATGAACTACCTATATGAAATGGTGTCTAAGTGCTTCTTGAAGTCCTATTACATGTAATTACACCAACAATAATACTTTAAGTTTTTAATATTTTTTTCTATAAAACGAAAAACATGGTTATATTTTACTGTTTTGGGGGGCTTCAGTCCGAAAGCCCCCCATCCCCCCGTAAATCCGCCTGTGATGTATTATGAGAGACAGAAAAGAATTTCCTTTTTTAGGTCGAATTAAAGTAGTTCATACATGATAATAAACCGAAATATGTGTACATATTAAATTAGGATGTATCTTTGCTAATAACGGCCCGATTTTGAAGTTTTTTGTTTTGTCTTTTAATTTTGTACTGAATTTATTAAACTCTTAAATAATTATGAATGTAATCCAAATTAGTTTCTTTTTCAAGATTTTTCCTGATTTTTCAGGGTATATTTATTTTTCCTATCTGAAGGAGAAAATAATCTTCAAAATGATTTCACAAAGATTGTATTTGATGAAGAATTAACGAAAATATGGTGTACTGACTGATGGGTAGTTTATTTCATTTATCTCTCATGAGTGCCATGGTGTTTTTTTTTTTTAAATCAAATATTATACTCTCAGATTTTTACTTTCAATTACCAATAGATTTTATTTATTTCATGTAACGTAAATCATTCATAACAACGAAAATCTTTAGGTTTAAATATATTCTAAACAAAGCGTTTGCGGACATATCTTTAGAGGAAATGTTTATCTTGTTTCGAGGCCCTTAGTTCATTTTTGCAGTTTGGCCACTTAAGACTGAAACACCTTGTATATTCAATTGCATTTTTTACTTTCACTTACCTAAATATGAAATATATAGTAAGGGACAGTATTGCATTATGAAAATTTTTGAATCTGAGTTTCCAACGAAAATGCATGTTAAGATGTATTTCGAGTCCAAATAACCAAGTCCTGCAAAATGGTCTGTGTGTGGTATGTATGCGAACAGTCTAGCTCAAAATCGAAAAGTCTTATGAAAGTGAAATTTCACATTTAAGATTTTCATTTTCCTGAGATGTTACAGCAACTTTATCGGCTAACCGGAAGTGGCACTTTATATAATGGGTTTTACACATTTTTACGATTTTCTCGAAAACGGCTCTAACGATTTTTATTAAACTAGGTATATCAGTGTATTATTAAGAGGTCATTAATATCAGCAGCTAGGTCTTATCTACATTGATGTTCCTTACAGGATTTAAGTGCCCAATACTCATTGTGTCTTCCACTAAAATACCTTTAATTTGATTTATTTTTAAAATAACTGTCTCTCATTGTTAGGAGTTATAAAAAAATGGCTAAATATAAGTATTGAAAGAATTTGGTAATTGAATAAAGGAGAAAACAAAAGAAAAATGCTTATCCAGGTTGAAAATGGATCTCCGGAAATAACAGTAAGATGGTATAACGTGTAATATAAAAGCTAGCTACGTGTAATATAAATGAAAGCTGAGAATTATAGAAAAAATAATATCTAATTCGTTGCAGAAGGTAACGGAGAGTGACGAATAAAATATAAATAATAATTCCTAAAAACTAGCGTTATTTAACGTAAATCACATGTTTTCAAGGTAATCAAAAGAAATTTTCTTACTAAATTTAAACTTAACATTTTTTTTTTAATTTGGAAAAATTATTTAAAATCCATCTATTCAAGCCAATGCCATTTTAAAATAGTATTTCACTGTCTTTGTGTGAAAGAAGAAGTGAAATATAAAAATATTTCATGGATGTATAAAGCATATGTTAATAACCTTAAATACATTTACTGTAGTTTAATTCCAGATCTGATATTATATTTAAATAATTAGATATCTATCGTCTGTTTATTCCGAAAAATCATCATACTACCTTTTCGAAAATTAAATTAGTGTATATTTTCTAGAATTTTCTTTGTGAAATCACAGCATTATCCACTTACAATTTGTGTGACAAGTTTTGAACTATCTATAGCAGGCAATGCAAATTTCGTAATTTCATTTTAGTAAACGTTACAATGAAAAATAAGTTTAATAACTAAAAGTCGTACAATTCTTAATCATTTAAAGGTTAAATATACAAATGTACTTTTAAATCTCTCTAGGCAATTATAAGCCTTTCTGTTGACAGAATGACTAACTGTAATTCCAACATGTTTATTATTAATTTTAGTGATATTTCTAGTGGGAAAATGTATACTTTTTTCATAGTTCTATATTTAAATAATTCAATCATGAACTCTGGAATCAACTTGTTCAATGCCTGTACAGATATTATAAATTTTCAGACTAGAAATATTACTAAAATGACATCACTCAAAAATGTTGAAATTGGATTTAGTCATTCTTTCAACTGAAAGGATATATAGCTTAGAGACTGCAGTGATGTGGTTTACAAAAACAGATGGAGTAACGAGGATTTTTTCTACTATCAATATAATAAATAAGAGTTTTGTTATTTTAATGGTCCTAATGATCAGTTAGCTATAAGATTTAAGCTTTAAAATGCACTTCAAAAATTTTATCATAGTCCATCATTGGTAGAAAATAATTTCTATTCAAGGATAAGTGAAAGTTGTGTGTTGCGTGCACCAGATTTTTGGTCTAATTTGCACATTCAAAGCTAGTTACATCTATATTTTATTTGCGTAAATGTATATCTATGGAGAAATTTCGTAATATCTATTGATAAATTTCAGAACATTAACAACTAATGTCTTGGGGTCAGTAACATTAACCGTATATTTATATTATTCTCAAGAATATCCCTTAAATTATACGTGAATATATGATGGTAGTAGAAAATATTACTATAGTTATAATTTTAATTTTTCACATTAAAGTTTAGCGCGTCCAACTACTATGAAAATCTGATAATTAACAAAACTCTAAATCAATAAGTCTAGATTATATGATAACATACAACTAAAGAAAGTTCAGATTAACATATCGATATCATATATAACAATGTAGTTTTATGATAAGGGAAAAACCTCAAAATAAACATATGTTTGTACCTTAAAATGATTCTGAGGCCTTGTCATTTTGAATGCGTTGTAGTAATCTTTCTGTTGATTTGGGATTTAATGTGTTGTTTACCGTCTACGTTCATAATTTTTACAGTATATTCAAGATTAGTTGCGGGATTTTTAAGTTTAAATAAGAATATTTTATTTTATATTATAAAATTAAATTAAAGTTAACAGATAATAATTTTTAAATGTTTTTTTAATTTAAAATGGCTGAAAAAAACATTTACCTCATAAATATTATATCATAATATTTCCTTAATGTTATGTAATAAACTATGTAATAGTACAATATTGAACTACTTAAAACTGGAAGGATTTTCCTACCTTTTTTTCAATAATGGAATGCAATTTCTTTACCATTTCAAAAGTTGGAAAAAATTTACCCGAACATACATTTAAAAAATGGTAAAAGTTTCTTTAATCGTTTCTGTAATATAGTTTTTGTGAAATTTAGAGTTTCTCCATTCATGTGTATTGAAGAGAGTTTACAGTTTACAAATATTTAAACATACAGATTAACATAACTAATTATTTAATAATACAATGTAGTTATAATTATTAAAATATTTCCTTTTAATTCAAATTTATATATATATATATATATATATATATATATATATATATATATATATATTAGCGTCCCATTAATATATATATATATATATATGTTTCTGTTTAATAATAATTAATAATATTAATGGGACGCTACGTATATATAAAATCGAATTAAAAGGAAATATTTTAATAATTATAACCATATTGTAATATGTAATATTAAATATATATATATATATATATATATATATATATATATATATATATATATATATATATATATATATATGTGATAGCAGACCTCAAGATCTACAAAAATGTTTAAATAAACAATTTTACGATTATACTCATGGAAGTAGATGATTTATTTATGTTTTCTTTTTTATGTACTATGTTTTGTATTGAACATGAAACAATAACTAAAAATATTTAACTTAGGAAATTAATTATTGTTGCATTACATAATAGATAACATTTTCATAAAACGCAAGTAAAGTTAGTCATTTTAAAATAAAATTGTCATTTAAAGCGGACTTATAAGTGGCTTATCTACGTTCTGTTATTTATCGAATCATGGATTATTTGATATTTCATTTATCATCTTCCAACAGTACGACAAATAATCTAATTTTAAAAAACTTCTTCAGTTAATATTTTTTTAAGCCTATATTAATTATTTTAAGTTTTGTTGCAAAATAAGTTGAGATTTACCTCTAGTTAAGTGATAACAAAAAAAAATATGTGATTTGAAGTGTTACTCCGAAGTTTAAAAAAAAAGAAAAAAACACCAAATATCATAACAAAGCTTTATCTTATTTTTGCATGTGATATAAAAAAATGTACTTTTTGAAATGATTTTTTCAAAAATATATCTATTGGACATTTAAATTGTCAATTTTTACACTTAAAAACAATGATGTTCTCTTCTTTTGGAACCCAATATTGTATCGATAGGGTTGCTATTTCATAACTTAGA